TCCAGCTGGACGATGAAGCGGAGTACTACGGCGGGGGAGGCGCCGAGACGCGGCCCCGGAGCCTGGCCTTGGAGGAGAAGGACCCTCGGCTTCAGCCCCCGGGGCACCAGCCGGGGCACCAGCCCGCCGCGGGTGGGGCCGGAGGAGCCTTGGACTCAGTGTCGCTCAGCAGCAGCTTGGACAGTGGGATGAGGACCCCGCAGTGCCGGATTTGCTTCCAGGGACCTGAGCAGGTCAGTGGGCAGAAGTGTTGGGCTGGGGGTGTCCTGGGTTTCGAGGTGTAGCTGAGCGCCTTGTGCCTGTGTGGAGTAGGAGCCTGATGGCAGGGTGCCAGGCCAGCTGGGCACCAGGGGAGGCTGTGCCAGGAGAATGGGCTGGACCACTGGACAACTTTATCCCCCATTATCCCTGGCGCTTGCATCTTGGCTGGGGTTCCGGTTCGTCATTTGTTCAGTGCATGGCTTCAAACGTCCTGGGTGCCAGGGGGTGGAAACACGGAGGCCAAGGTAATGGCAGGAGCGTCGGTGCAGCAAGAGCCATAAAGTTATCAAGATGTCAGTGAAGTTAGTTACTTAGAAGATGCTGAGATAGAGGGGTTTGGGTGCCTCTGTCACCTGGCATCAAGATGCAGACCACATCATCTCCTTGTAACTTGGCTTCCAGGATGACAAGGGTTTGAGATCTGTTTGGGGACACGAACTGAGTGATAGTGTCCAAGACTTGTTTCAAGGTTTGTTTGTTTGTTTGTTTGTTTTTATTCTGAAGAACCTCACACAGTGCCATGGGATAAAACTAATGGCAGTGCATGAAGAAGTGATAATAGTTCCTAAGCCCTGGGAAACTACAGTGGCTTCCCTCTTTCCTGCCAGCTCTCCAACCCCAAATGTGGGTTTGCTTGCATTTTTTTTTCCCGAGGAACTCAAAAACTCTTTGGAGTAAGCTGTGTTAGGTGACCTCATCTTGGATATGGGGACAGTCTGGGTATCAACCCAGGTCACATAACCTAGGTAGGGAGCGAAAAGAGAAGCATGCTCTTTGTTGAGATGGCTTTCATTGGCATTTGGGGAAGTGGGAGCTGCTCTGAGACCATGAAGAGGGCCTGTGTGTTTGCCAGAGGTGTGTTGTGCTATTGAAGGTGCTGGGAAATGCTACATTCTTGAGCTGCCAGGGCTGGAACGCCAGCCCTCGCACTCTGCCCTGAGAGCAAGTGTGGTGCTCCAGGTGGATTCCTTTTCCTTGCCTGGGGCAGAGCCCTTCATTGTGCCCTGTTTGCATATGCTGACAGGGTGTCTTTGGGATGTTCTCTCCCCCCAGCCAACTGCTTTTAAAACTGCAGGGCGATGGGCTTTATGCTCTGAGACAAAGAAGGAGACTTATCCTTTGAAGAGTGTCTGCGCAGTGACAGCAGTTGTAGTGGCTCCCTGCAGTGATGGGAAAGGCTATTCTGAAAAGACTGGGTGGTAATTAGCTGCTGAAAGGAGGCTGGATGGAGAATTTGGGGGTTCTGTTGGATAAAAAGCAGCAGGAGGCTTAAAAGCTGAACCTGGCAAAAGGCCTCTGAGTTGTATGTCAATGGGAAGAAGACCACACCTCCAGGAGTTGTCTGGTTGGCTCAGAGAAATGCCACCTATTGATCCCTGTCGCCACCTCTTGCAGCAAAGCTGTGTTTTCCTGCAAGAATCAGGCTGTTCCAGGCATTCCAGTGATGGTCACCTATGGCTTAAAGCTTTGAAATGCACAGAAAAGACAACAGTTTACAAAAAGATAGAAATTGGGTGCTACTGGTTTTCTTCCGTCAGAGATACTTGTAGGGAAGACAATGGGAGCATCATTCAGTGTCCTACTTTAGAGGAGTGAGGATCTGTGAAATTAATACTGCTTGTAACATGTAGGGAGAATAAACTGAACATGGACATTGTTTACCTTTAAAATACATATGCTGGGCTGCTTCATCCTTCCCTTGTGGGGACTCATTTAAATATAGATAGACTATGGAGTAGATATTAAGAATGTGTGTTGGAATTCATAATTAATCATTTTAATAGGGATCAGGCAGCCACAGTATTTAATACTAGGCAATTCCCCATCTGTGTTGTCTAGGACAAAAGTGTTCTAGTCAGAATATGTTGTTACTGTCCCATTTGGAGTAGTGAGAGCATTGGGCTGTGGAGTTTGCATTTAGGTGAAAGTCTTTTTGGGAAAAGGGGGAAAAGCAAGGAGAGTGGCTTTATGTCCTTTATTTAATATGTCCCAGCCTGATTCCCTCCAGATGCATTGGACTTCAGCAGCTCCCATAATTCTCAGACAGCATGGGTTTAGGGTCACTCTGGTTGGGAACTGTGAAAGTTGAAATCCAACACATCAAAGGTTATTAGACTGGCAGTCTTTATATGGCAAGATCGCCATGAGTGGAAAGACATTATTTATGTGAAGTAGCCCTGAGAAATGCAAAAGCAGTAGCAACAGTGGAGGTTATATCCTGGAAAAGATGGTCTCTCTGGCAGAAGAAGTTATGGAGCTGGACAATATTGCCCTGTTTTTTCTTGATTAGTTAATCTGAAGTGATCAGATTGGTTAGTCTTGCTCGGTATTATCTATTCTAACTAGTAGTTGCTCTTCAAGTTCTTCAGCAAAAAAGAGTCATTCCTCTAGTCTTTTTAACTAGAGATACCAGGAATCAATTCCTTCCTTTGCAGAACATGTGCTGTACGACTGTGGAATGCCCTTTCCGAAAGGTCAGCCAAAGTATGTTAAAGAGTTGGGTGTACCGGGGAGAAAGTGCTGAAGTCAAGCAAGCAGGTGACAATCTGATGATCTGTTCTGCAGGGTGGCAGTTGAGTCAGTCTGATGTAGATTGATTGTTTCCCCTTTGTAGCCGAGATGAAGAGGCAGGGAGAAGCTGGATGTCAGCAAGGCATGCAGGAAATGCTCTTTTCAGATCATGCCCCGTGCATGCTTGCATTGCACCAGGATCCAGTATGAGGAAGGGAGGCTATTGTGTAGAAGACAGCACTGATTGAGGCTGTTTGCATCCTTCCACTTATTGAATGGATGGAAAGCTACGAAAGCTCTATGAAAAGCTAGGCAACTGAGCTGGCATGACTGTAGGGTGTGGCTGATTTTATGTTTGAGTGACTACACATGTTGGCGTGAAAAACCACCCTGATTTCTTTTTCACAAATTAGAGGGAGGTAAATAAACTAATGTATTCATGCACTTTTGTATGCCTGTTGCTCAGATAAAAGCTCCTGATGAACCCATGCAAACCATGACTGCATTTTTATGTGCTTCAAAGTATGTTGGTAAAACTATGCTCACGCAATGAGGCATACATTTTCCTTTGCCTCTCCCTTTCTATGTATTTAGATTTGGGAACTATCTGAGTATTTGCACATCTGTCTTTGGGCTCATGTGGATGTGCACCATGCTTATATAGGCAGAAGTGCTGTGCTGGCGTCTCCTCTACCTCATGCTTCCTGGTGTGTTATGTATTCCCTCAAGCTAGCAAATATATGTGTATGTGAAACCAAATTCTCATTTCTAAGTAGTTATGCACTTTCCCGAGACCTAATTTGAAGTTAGGAGGAGAGCAGAGACATATTTTGCTTTTTGATAAGCATATGGGCATACTCTGCCTCAAGTTTGTTGTGTGGGTCCACATGTGCATGCATGTGATCTTATTTCCATGTGGCCAGTCATATGAATGTAAACTTAATCTTCTGCAAGCTGGAGCTCTCCAGATGTACTGACTATAACTCCTATCACATACCCAGCAGGGCAAAGCCTATGTTGCCTAGGAGACGGAGAGCTGCACTCCAACACAACTGGAGGCCCCCCACCTTGGAGGAGCCTGGGGTACATGATATGAATGAGTCCTCTAACTCTTAATCTGCCTTAGTCTGCCTTCATTAGCTCTTCTTAATTTGAGTCAGGATTAGCTCCAGACTTTTCTTTCTCCCTAGGTTCAATTGTGCAGCATGTGAAATAATGATAGGGGGCAAACATACCAAAGGCTGAACTATAAAGGCATCAAGTGGCAGGTTCTTCCCCCAGCCCCCCCCCCACTTGTTAATAAAGGGTAGCGTCCAGCTGAAGTGACATCACATGATGAAACAAGAGCGTCCTTGTGTAGCTCCCCTTGATTCCAAGAGGGTTTGGGTAGAGAACCTCCCTGAGGGATTATGCTGCAAAGATCAAATTGATCCAGCTCCTTTTTTCCCATTCCCATAGCCTAAGTGCCTCGACTCTTGAAAACACTACTGTGTTCAGTTTTGTTTCTGCTGTACATGCATTTGGAGCACATAAAGTGAGTTACGGTGCCTCACGGTAGTGTTTATCTGGCTTGATTCCCTCATGATATTTTTGAGACTTGTTCCCAAGTATAAAATAGTGCATGCAACAGACATTGCATCACCTATTTATAACATGTACACACTCACATATCTACACATGCACATTGTCGGGGAACTATGACTGGCCATAAGCTCCCTGTTGAGTGCACGTTTGGTGGCAGACCTGGGTTTGCCTCTGCATAATGTATGAAGTAGCCCTCTGCTTAGCAAAAAGGATAAATTAAAGGTTGAAAGGCCTGCTAGGAGCAATAGCAATGCCTGCAATTGATTCAGAAGAGTTGCCTGAAATTTGCTGGCTTCAGGGGAGGGCTGAAAGTGGAAGATATTCTTGGAATTATTAAAAAGTCATATAGAAGTTCAGCACCACTCAAAAAACACACCTTAAAGTTCTTGGGGCATTCAGCAGGTGTATCAGACTGTAGAATAGATGAACAGTATTTGATTTTTAGGCTTTACTTGATAATAATGGTGATGATGATGATGATGACCACCACCACCACCACCATCACCACCTAGCATTTGGAACAGTTTAGGGAAGAGACCATTGTAGTTCAGCTCATGGCAAGTTCAACTCTTGGCATGTCTAATGAAAAGGTAGCAGATGATGGAAAAGTCTGCCTTCCAGCTGAGATTCTGGAAATCTTCATTCACTCAAAGGAGACAATACTGGATTAAGTAAACAGGTTGTTTCACCATGTTGACAGCAGATGTTTCTGTCCTGATCTACAGACAATCCCTGCCACACCCACTTCCAACCAAAAATCAGTTGTCCCTCTCTCTGCCACCCTCATATCAGTGGCGTGTTCTTTTCATAATTTCTCCCCATCTAAATGTAAGTTACTGATAACAGAAATGCTTGATTTCTGCTCTTCTATTCTCTG